TGCTAGGATCCAGGACATGAACCAAATAAAACTGAACAGAAAGACTGACAGAAAGACAAGCAATGATCTGGCACTGAATGCTCAGGCTGAACTGAATACAAACTAGAGGAAACAGGTGAAAGGAATAAATTATAATGAGGCAGGGAGGGAAAAACCACAGGTGAAAGGAATGACTAATTAAGGGAGAGCAAACAGGCCAGATCATGACAAACCACAAAGATTATCTGGATGAGGCTAATTATTTTGATGGTTTTTATTTATTTAAACACCAACAGACCATAATGAAAATGAGTTTAAATGAAACCAAACAAAAGCGTCTAGTTTTAATTTTTGAGGAGTAAAAGTAAAACTATCTAAAAAAAATAACGACTCCAGTAAAGTATAGATAGCCAACATTTCAACTTAGGGTCTTTTTTTACAGTATAATAATTTAAATGTAAACCTTTGATTTTATTTCATGAACTCAATGGTAAGAAACTTGAGAAAAGAAATGTCATTGATAAAGGCTTTGGTGCCAGAAGCTGTCTGAGTTCCAAAGTTGGTGCATTTTCATTCTTTTACATATTCCATTATATTTTAGGACAAATATTATAATATTTTAAATAGTGTATTATACCATGCACTCTGGCAAGGTCTTTGAAATTTGATCAAATTAAAAGAAGAAAGACCCCATCAAATTTAATGTTGCTTCTTAACTACTTAACTGTCATCAGCTGCTTTTTTTAAAGGTTGAAGTAAAAAGCATGCCCCCTATTTTTAAACACCTGACCCAGCACACTTTCATCTCTCTCCAACAGGTTGGTGGTTTTGACGGCAGCAGACGCCTGCGCTCTGTTGAGGCCTTCAACCCTGACACTTATCTCTGGAGAGATGTGGCCTCCATGATTAGGCGCCGCAGCAACTTTGGCATCGGAGTGGTTGAAGGTCGACTTTATGTTGCTGGAGGCTTCAATGGCTTAACCACCTGCAACAATGTGGAGTGTTACGATGCCGATACAAACAGGTGGTCAGAGGTCTGTAGTATGGGAATCTCCCGCAGTGCTCTTAGCTGCTGTGTAATAACCGGCCTCCCCAACATGGCTGATTATGTGATCCCTCGATGCCACCTGCCCCTGCTTCCAGTAGAGCAAGTAGAATTATAAAGCTTCTCCTAGAACACCCTCTATGATGTCATCATTTAAAACATTCACAACTGCAGCTTTGTGTTATCAATAAACTATTTGCAGCATCAAAACACTGTCCAGAGGGTTTTTATTTTTATTTTTGTACTATTATTTTCCAAAGGACTGTTTTGTCTTTGAGGTGGTTGCTAATGCAAAAGTAATTGAACACAAATTTTTGTTTATATACCATTTGGTTGCTCTTGAAACAGCCTGTTATACAGTAGCAGCCATTCAAAATGGCCCTTCCCAGTCAAATGCCATCGGAGTGGCAGCCCACTCCCCTGCAACTCCCAGCAAAATCCCCTCCATGAACCCAACATCATTTTGTTTACTCCGATTCCACCCTTTCTCTGAATTACAGTGTCTGACCAGGAGATGACGCTTCTCTGTAGTTCTTAATGTCCTCAGATCCCGACAGAAAGAATATTTTAGTACAAAGATTGATGATTTAAAAAAATGCATTGTAGGGGACCAACCAAGGGACAGCCAAAAACCCATTAAGAAAATTGGGTAATTTTTAAATGGCTACTACTGTCTTTGTAAATGTTTAAATGCACTTGTTTTAAAAATTTTCAAAACACTTATGATATATTTTTGTTTTTGTCAGCCACCATCCACCATCCAGCCCTATAATCAGCTTCAGCTGCTGCCACTAATTGCCCCCACATCATTCCACCTCTTTCCCCACCTTTATATACCTGCCTCACTCTGCATAGTAAATGCATTTGGTTGCTCTGCCTGTTCCCGTCACTCTGCCTCACTGGGAACGTTGCAGCTTCAGTCCATGTCAGATCTTCACTACAGATTCNAAAAAAAGAAAAAAACAATTGTATTGTCTTATTTCAAGTGCATACTATTTAATTATCTTATTTTAAGAGTAAAAATACTCATTCCGTTGGCAAATCATCATATTTATCTACTCAGATTGAGGGTTATTACACTTAATTTAAGAAATTTTTACTTATTTCTAGATCGTTTTTGCAGTGTATAATCTTTTTGCTGCTGTAAACACCAGAATTTCCCCATCGTGGGACAATAAAGGGATTTTCTATTCCTTTTTTTATTCTTTTCTTGCTTGTGATATTGTTGATCTCATATTCTGTAGCTTTGCAAGGGAGAGTCTGCCTGCAGGTGCAATAATCATCAGTCAGATTACTGGTGGTCTATTTTCTCTCCTTCACCTTACGGAGCACATATGCATGCATTCACTACAAACAGAAAGTTGAAAACATCTCTATTTAAAGATGCTGCTGAATCTGATGGACAATCCACCATCATGTTAAAAATGTTTTCCTCTGAAATCAAATCCAAAGTAATCCAAACACAGCAGCTTCTCTGCTCCATCTCATCCACAGGTTCCACAGACTGGTCTCCTCTGAGCTTCATCATGTTGACTCTGAGGATCACAGCACTGATCCTGATGGTTGGAATCACTGCTGATATCATCAGAACCAGAGGTGAGCAAACTGGACCAGATGGAGCAAATCTACAGAATTTTGATGTTAACTGTTTTTTTTTTTCTTTCCTTCTCAGGAAACAAGAAGCCTCAGAAAGACGTTAATGTAAGAGAAACATATATGAACAAAATATTCATAGATATTTTACAGATAGATTCTAAATGAAAAACCTGTTTCCCAAAAATTAAGTTTCCAGTTTTTAAGATTAAATCTTTTCTCCTTGTTCTCTTTGCTGAGATTCTGTTTGAATGCAACAGATTTACAAGCTGTTGCAGCAACAATGTTCTTGTTTAAATCCCAGTTCTGTTCTTTTTCTGTACAATTTGCATATTTTCAAATGACAGAACAAATATATTAATAAACGATGAAGACCTTAAATAGTGTTAAACTGTTATTTTTTCAGAGAAATAAATAGATCTCTGTCATAGCATTTATGATGCTTTGAAAATTCTCTTTAAATGTTCATTTTGTTTCTATAACTGTATTATAAAGGTTAATGTTTGGTTTTATCTCACAGGTTCATGATGCTGTTGATGAGGATGCAGTAGATTATGAAAATGATGGAGAACGTTCTGCTGCTGCCACAATCAGCTGACCTTCATCACATCAATACAGTTTATACTAAAACCTTTATTCATTGACTTTATTTGATTTTGCTTCAATTTTCATGTGTACATTTTTTAGTTTCCCAATAAATGTACAAAATGATTTCTCTAAGCTTCAATTTTAATCTATAATAAAATAAACCCCAGAATCTCAGGATTTGTTCTCAGACTAAAATCAGGAGGCAGACAGACAGAAACTGATTAATGTGTCATTATCTCAATCAAATACATTTATTATCACAATTAAATGCTGACCTGTTCCCCTTTAAAGTTAAAATTCCTAATCAGAGACACATCAAATTATCATATTTGTTCTCAAAACCATCCAAGACTTCAATTCTTTAACCACATAAAAGCAGTTAGTAACTAATGGCTAACTCCAATAAGAATCCAGCCAATCAGAGCATAAAGAGAGCAATGTGTCATTGTCTCAGTGACATCATATATATGCTGAAGAGCCAAACAGAGGCAGATAAAACTATTGCCACAATTTTATTTTATTTTTTGATTTTTTGCTTGTGTAGCTTTTTTATTTTCCGTTAAATGTAAAACATAACTGCAGATTGTTCCCCATGAAAATTAAAACTCTCCATATGATCAATCAGAGTCACACTAAATGGTCACATTTGTGCTCCTCAAAAATGTCTGCAACAACATAAAAGTCTCATGCAGCTTTTAAAAATAACTCCCCCCTATAATATCCAATCAGTTTGTTCCTTTGAGTAGGAAGAACAGAGAATAAAGAAAACAATCATTAACCCTTTAAAGCCAAGTCTATCGTATTTGATACATGAGTTTTTCAGACTTCTGCATCATTAGTGTGACATTTATGTTGTTGAAGTCTGAAAAA